TGTGTGTGCGCAGCTGCTTAGGGTTCCAGAAGTATCTTCGAGGCCTATGCTCTGAATCCCCCAGCCTCCGCCTAAGGTTGCAGAAGCTTCTTGAGGCTTCTTCTCCTGTAGCTCTCCTGGCCTCACCGAGCCCAGGGAGGCGGAGCCAGTTCTGCTTTCTGTTTACCTTGCAATAGCGTCCCTTGTGTCCGCAGCTGCTTAGGGTTCCAGAAGTATCTTCGAGGCCTATGCTCTGAATCCCCCAGCCTCCGCCTAAGGTTGCAGAAGCTTCTTGAGGCTTCTTCTCCTGTAGCTCTCCTGGCCTCACCGAGCCCAGGGAGCGGCGTAGCAAGGTAGTGCCTGGAAGGTGACACCTGTCATGCTTCCTCTTCAGGACTGAGGAGCCAGTGTGTGGCTGTGGCTTCACAAACAGGCCAGGACACTGAAGTGAGGGGCGTCTGGGGGGCAGGGCTGGGGACAGGGGCAGGACAGGGTGAAGCTGAGTACTGTGTGGCTATCTGCGGGAAGCTTCCAGATGCTACCTCAAGGGTCAGCGTGGCGCCGTACCCAGCTTACCTGGACCTCCACAGCTCTAATCTTGGGCACCATGGCCCTCCTAGAGAGGGTCCAGGTCTCCATACCAGGTCCAGGGGATTTGACCGCTAAAACTGTTTGCTTTACCGCTGATGCAGTGTGACACCAGCCTGCAAGATCCAGCTCTGGGCATCAAGTTTCTGGGACACGGCAATGAGACGGAAATTTGGCTTTGGCAAAAGGCACTGATTTTACCTTCTTCTCTGAATCTCCTTTCTCGGAACAATGGGGATATCTCAGTCCCATGTGAAGCACACACTCTCTTCCTCCTGGCCGTAATTCCCCACGCAGTGTTGCAGTGCCGCCCTAGAAGGGCTTCGGGAAACATCCCAGGGTCCAAAGGCTGCTGTGACCCTGGTCCTGAGGCACAGGGAAATGCCAGGTGCCCAGAGTGAGTGCACCTGGGAAACAACCGTCTTCTGGCCTCACTTGCCTCTGAGCTCCCGAGAAAGAGCCAGGGAGACAAATGTTCCAGCTCAAGGCAAGAGCCGCAAGCCACTTCCTTGCTCTTTGGCTCAATTACCTAATTGCACCAAGTGGGCTACACTCAGGCCTCAGGGAGGCAGGGCTTCCCCGCTGGCAGCCACCCTTTGTGGCCATAAGACAGGACTGTGGCAGGTCCGTGGGAGAAGGCACAGCTGCATCTCCAGCACAAGGGCTGGTCAGCTCAGCCCAGGACTGGTCCCTCGGCTCCAGGGCAGGTGGAGGGGGTGCCCTCTGGAAAATGCTAGAATGGGAGGGCCAAGCCCCAGATCCCATAGCGGGCCACATGCGGAGCAGAGCTGAGAACATGCAGACCTGCTGCTTGTTGGTGTGCCGAAGTCATCTCGTGGACTGGACAGGAGAGCCTCGCTGGAGAGCTGTGAACCTTTTTGGAATGGGAACATCCATCGTGTGCCTGTCCCACCACGGCATCCTGTAAGGCGATAAAGTCATGCCTGGGTTCACAGGCTCACAGATGGAGAGGAATACGACCTTGGGACGAATTAACTGCACCCCAAGTCTCAAGCACACCTAATTTAGATGACGTTTGTGTGGGATTTTAGGCTGAGGAAACAGGGTCATTGCAGTCAGTTAAGATGAGGTCATACTGGAGTAAGATGGGCCGCTGAGTCAATATGACTGCCTCCTCTCTTAAGGGGGGATGTTCAGACACAGAGACACAAGTGGAGGGAACACAAGGTGAAGACACGGAGAGGAAACAGCTGTGCACAAGCCCAGGGCAGGGGCCTAGAGCACACCCTTCCTCCCGACCCCACCCACACCCACATCGCAGACTTAAACCGTGCATTTCTGTCACATAAGCCACCCAGTGTGCAGTGCTCTCCAATGGCAGCTGTAGTAATCCAGGAACATTCTGTTTATTTTGGGGAAACGACAGGTCAGGGGGACAACGGAGGCGGTACTTCAGTACTCTCCCTGAGAGTAACAGGGAGCCATAGAGATATTTTAACCAGGTGAGGATCTGTAGCTAGAAAGTGACCGCAAGAAGGATGCACCGGACGAGACAAGCCTGGGGGCGCCCAAGTCAGGACGTTGCTACTGGACTCGAGCGGAAGGCATGCGTCGGGGTAGACACAGCCATACAGTAGGGAAGAATCCCCACGACATACTTAGCTTTGCACACCTGACACTGCACAGATATACAGTCACGTGTCACTTCGCCACAGTGAGATGTGCATCATTAGGCAACTCTGGCCTTGCGCGAACACCTAGAACACGCTTATACAAACCTAGGCGGCATGACCCCTGCACCCTGAGGTCACGTTATACAAAGCGACGTCTGTGCTACTGCCTATTGTTCCAAGGACCACGATGGACAAAGTGACACAAAAGTAAGTCAAGTACAAGAGAAAACGATGCATTCATGACATGGGGTGACTCTGACATGTATGAGGCTGGTATGACATGGCAGGATGTTTTCCGGTAAACTTTTATTTGTGTAAGGAGAAAGAATGCACTCTAAAATAACAAAAAGGCAGGCGGCAGGCACGGTGGCACACACCTGTCATCCCCACACACAGGAGGCTGAGGCAGGAGAATTGCTATGTTTGAGGCCAGCCTGGGCTACACAGTGAGTTCAAAGCCAGCCTGAAACGCCTAACAAGACCCTGTCTGAAAGAGCCAAATAAATAAATAATACAACAATAAAAAGCAGAGTGAATATGTAAACTAGTGACACGGCTGCTTATCATTCCCAAGCATTGCGCACCACACATAACTGCCTATGCCACAGTTGTAGGGTTGGCAGTGCTGTAGGTTTCTTTGCACCAGCATCAGCACACACACGAGCCACACACTTTGCTGCAATGTCACGGAAGCTGTGACATCACTCGGTGCCCACATTTTTCAGCTGCACCGTAACTTTGGGGGGACACTTAGCACACGCAGTTCATCCTTGACCAGAGTGTCACCATGAGGTGTGGGATTGTACTGCCCTGGGGGATTTGCATGAGTTATTATACGTAACGATTTCCACAGCCTGTGTGGTGGGCACTGGTACTTTCTCCAGTGCACAAAATAGCAAGTGTGCCCAGCCCACACAGCTGCTGAACAAGCAGGTTGGCCTCTGGACCAGGCAGGCTAGCTCTGACCTCAGCGTGCAATGCTGTGTTGGAAAATGCTCACCACCCGACCCTGGTTTGTAGAATTGCCCATCTCTGGGCCAGACTACTCCCACGATGGCCAGTGTCAACTACCAACACGTCACCAACAGGCTGACACGATCTCTGAAGACGTGACAGCCCTCTCGCGAGCTGAGGTAAGCCGGCCAGGCTTGGAGCTGCCAGTGTGAGGCACATGTCACTTCCCTCCTTGAGGTGAGCCTTGCGCTGATAGGATGTCCTCTGGCTGTGCAGTTCCAGGCTGCTGAGACATTCGAATCCAGGGTGCATGATGGGTGATTGTGTGGCCTCAGACAAGTCGCTTCCCTCTCTGAGCCTCAGCTTGTTCAGCTCTGGGATTAGTTGCTCCAGGCTTCATCGAGCTCCCGGATGTGAAGCACGGGGGCTGGCACATGGCAGGTGTGCCATCAGGAGCTGGCTGGTTTTTATTGTTCCTGTGACTGATCTGCAAACCCAGATCACCTGGAACATATCGCTGCACTTTCCTCCAGACGTCCTGGCCACTGCACCTGCCTGATGTGGACCCCAGCTGGCCCCATACTAGGTCCTATTAACCTCCTGCGAGCTGTGGTGACCATGCAGCAGCAGCCTGGCTGTTGCTAGGATAGCCATGGACTTGTTTTGTTGTTTTGTTTCCTTTTTTTAAATCACAAAATCGCAAATGGTCTGAGGGTCCTACAGCACTGCCTTGGAGCCTCTTCCCATGTGGGGTCTGAGTCATGCCTGTGCTACTGGAAAAAATGTCATAGCATGAACAGTAATAATTAGCAAGCCATCTGCATACTTTGGTCTGTGTGAGAGCTTCGACAGCCCTCTCAATTGTGCGTGTGCTCCAAATCCATCTGGATTTCCCTTTGTGCCCCAACTTTGGTATCCGCGTCTGTTAGGAGGTGGTCCCCATCCTCACCCTTATCTACACCCCCTCGGCATGACCTGTGCAGGCAGGAGGTCCCATTCCTAGAGAGCAGGGACCTGGGGAGGGAGAAATTGACTCGTAGCCACGGTATTCTGGTTTCATGGTGAAATCAATGCAAGTCATTCTACAGCCCCTTAATTAACTGTTCACTTGTTAATGAGGGCTTTTTTCTTAAAGGTTCCTATTATTTTAAATCAGTGAAGTCGCCAGGAAATTACAATCAATATTTTAACAATTTCCCATTTGTTTCCATTGTGCCCCTTAGAAATGCTTACCACCACCAACAGCCCCAAGAAGATTAAAATGGTTGAAGAATGCAATGAAAGAGATAACTCAACTCATTTCCTAGTGGCTCTCCTCCACTTCACCAAGGCAAAATGCCATGTGACCTCCAGAGTGCCTGAATCTGGCTGCACACCATGCACAGACTTACCTGCCTCAGGGCCTGAGAGCAGAAGGCCTGAGGGCCCACATACAGGGCCTGAGCTGAACCTGAGTCCTCTTTTTCCATTCCACGCCTGCCTCCTGCCTCTGGGGTGCTTGGGGTAACCATCAGAACAGCACCCTCTTCTCTGAGGCTGGTGGGCTGTGGCCCAGGCACCCCACCCAGGGCAGTCCTATGTGGGGTGGGGCACTGCAACCTGACCACACCAGATAACGAAGGTACCATCTGATCCCATCCAATAAGAGGCACCCAGAGCTCGGGAGATGGTGCAGCCAGCAGGCAGCAGAGCTGGGCTCCACCAGGCCGGGGTTGGGTACAAATAAGGTACAGAGGCAGGACAGCAGAGCCTGGGGCTCCAGAGTCGGGGGCTGTGGCTTTGCCTCTGGGTGGTAGAGATGTGACAGCCACATCTGTGACCCCGCTTCCTCTTTCCAGGTCCAGACTCTGCCACCCAGAGGGCCCCTAGACCCCATTTCACCCCTACCGACAGTCAATCCTGAGTCCATCAGGGAGGCTGGGAGCCCCCCAAAAGCCAGTGTGAAGCTGTAGAAGCGGGAAGAGCCAAGGACAAAGGACCGAGGAGTTAGGAAGAGAGAGCCAGGGCTGTGATGGCCCAGGGAGGGAGGGTTCCAATGTTGCGATGGCGTGGACTTTTGGGAGGAGGTAGCCTTCCAGACAAGCCCTGAAGTTTAGGCAGGGTTTCAACAGGAGTGCTAGAGTGGGAAATGCAGAAATGGGGAGAGCCACACTGTTAGGGTACAGGGAGAAAGCCAGCCAGGCAGGAAATATGGCAAAGCACCAAAGGAGGAATCTGGAAGTAGAGGCCTGTGTCCACTACCTATGCAGGACCTTGCTTGTTGATGCGCATAGCTTGGAGGGGCCCGGGCCACAGCCCCGCAGTGCCCAGCCCGGTGCTAACTTGCCTGGGGAACAGACAAGCACGACTTCCGGGCTCTGTGGAAGCCACAGAAGGCACTCCTGAGAGACAGCATCTGCTGAGGGTGATATACAACGCAGCCCTCCTGGCCTGGGGAAGGACCTGGACTTGTGCCCCTTGGAGGTGCTAAACTCGGTCCCTATCTGGTGTCCTAAGCTTACTACAGTCGCTGTCCCGGGATAGCACTCTACCCGCTCCCCTGAGCTCCTTTCCGATGAATCAGAGCAGGCCCACTGTGGAGTTCATTAGAGCCTATACAGGAGACAGTTTTCTCCAGGTCCCCAGGGCACCCTGAATGTCCTTTCTCTTTCTTTCACTCCCTGTCCTCCCTATAGGTATTCGGGAGTTTGAAGAGCTCCAAATACTTGGTTGCCAGGCCGAGGAGCTAGAACTCAGTGCCATCAGAAGTAGGGAGCCACAGGAGGCTTGGGAAAAAGGGGATAAGGATGAATAGATCAACTAGATGTGTTTCCTTCTTCTCAGTCAGCCTGCATATGCTCTGAGGGCCCCAACCTGTGCAGGCCACACATAGAATTCCAGAGACTGAAAGCCCCAGCACTTGTCCTGTGAGCTTGGGAAAACGTGGCATACGTTCACAGGACTAGGACTCTGACTGTGACTGCCAGGTGGCTGTCCAATCCACGGAGCTCCAAGTTTGCATCAGACCAAAGGCAGCCAATATGTGCCTTGGTGTGGTGCTCCTGGGCCCCACAAGCCTAACCTCAACCCACCTGTTGGCAGCCACTCAGAAACAAAGCCACGAGGGTCCCCAGTCAAAGCACAGCTCCCGGAGGCCCCTAGGGGAGACCTTTCCTTGCCTGGATCTGCAGGTCCTGGCTGTCCACCCTGGGAAGGTGGCCACATAGCAAATGGAAGTGGCCCAAGCTTTGGCAGCCAGTGCTTCCTGTTCTGCCACTCATGAGCTCTCTGAGCCTCCTACTTGTTGATATAGAACACGAACAAAACTACTCCTCATACTTCTTGGGGTGTAGGACTCCTGCAGGGAAAATGCAGAGGAGGCCTAGAGAAATAGAGGAAAGTGCTCCTTAGCTCAAGACCCAGTCCTGCACTTGGGGTGACAAAAGGGCCCTCGCTGTCTTGGCCTGTCTATTCAAAGAGGAGACAGCCACAGCCAGCCTCTCTGCCTGGCCACCTCAACAGCGGGGCACCTTAGGTGAAAACCACAGGGACCTGCACTTCCCACGGGAACCCACAGAATCACTCTGAACCTCAGTGGCTGCCTGTGACACTGCTACCAACACATCTGGCCCTTTGCTGCCATGGCCCCCACCTGACCCCCCAGCCCTTTGTTTAGGTCACATACCTCCCTCAAATGTGATGACAGCTAGCAACGGGTCCCTTTGGCAGCTGGTGTGCATGATCCTGCGGTCGCCGGAGTTTCTTGGAAAGTTTAGGGATGCAGAATGGACCCACAAGTGCAGAGCAGAAACTCCACTCCCGGCACAGTGTGGCGGCACGGGGATGCGGCAGTGGGTACAGCAGGCACCAGAGGCTGCCCTCCTGGGATGCAGCCTGGAGAAGAGGCCAGCTGTGGGGAGTGCTGGAAAGAAAACAAAGCAGGGAAGAGGAGAGGAAGTGCCAGAGATGGGCGTTGGGCTTTGAAACATTGACAGGGTGACCAGGTGACATCTGTGCCAAGATTAAAGGAAATGAGAGGCCGCCATGGATATCTGGGGGTGAATTCCAGCCCAAGAGAACAGCTACAGGAGTGCAAAGGCCCTAAGCTGGGAACCTACCTAGTCTGTTGGAAGACGCAGGAGGCCCAGTGGCTGGTGACTGGTGGGCAGAGCCAGAGGGAGGATGATGTCACCCACATGTAGATGGCGAGACCTGAAGGGTCCCAGGGCCACCAGAGGCGCTTCAGCGGGACTCCGTGAAATGGAGCGTCCCGCAGACCTTTGCACAGAGAGGGGGATGTGCCAGGGAAGGACCCAATAGGCGGCCTGCTGGGCAGCTGCTGGCTGCTGGGGCCATCCGGGGGTCCCGTGCCAGTGTCTGGGACCAGGAGGGAGCCGTGGAGGAGCAGAGAAGGCTGGGATGGCAGACGAGTTCAGAACTGTCTGCTGGACTGGACGTGGGGTGGGAAATAGAAGGAGCGAGGCTGATGCCAGGCTGGTAGGCCTTGTAGCTTCAAGGATGGCGTTGCCAGCGCTCAGACTTGGGCACCTGGGAGAGGGCTGGGGGCAGGCCTCCCGCCGGGGCTCAGCTCAGTGGGGCCGCTCGCAGCTCAGGGTGGGCAGTCAGCAGCCTCAGGGATGTACTGGGGAATGGGCACCGCCGCCTCCCTGGGGAAGCCCAGGGGCGCGGGTGGGGCTCCAGAGGAGGCCTGGCAGTGAAGCCTGAGCTTCCGGCTCCGCCCCCGCGGCTGTGCACACTGAGGGACTGGGCGGACAGCTAATCACCTCCCACCGTGACCCCTGACAGTCGGCCTCCTCCACTTTCTCAATCAGATTCCCTTCCAGAGACTCGCTGGCCAGCTCTGTCAGCTGTGGGAGCCACTGAGAGACTCATCCCCGTGGGGCCTGGAAGGTATGGGCCGCCATCTGCCAGCGGTTCAGTCACCAGACAGCGACACCGTCTCCTGGCCACCTGCCCCTCCAAAGCAGACCCGAGGGCCCAGCCCAGGTGAGTCCTTCCCACCAGGGGCGCAGGGCACCACTCTTCCCCTAGAGAACTCGTGGGACAGTCGGGGCGAGCTCAGAATCCCACCGAGGGATTTCGCTGGATTCCTGCAGGGGCCCAGCGCTTTCTGAAGGCTTGGGGCGTGGGTTCGGGCGAAGGAAGGAGGGGCGGATGGGCGGCTGTCTCGCCCCTATTCCCGGTGGAGGCTGGCCCGGCCCGGCGTTGGGTCTCTACTCTAGATTTAGGGCAGGAGCTGAGCGCAGCTGCTGTCGGAGCAGCCCCAGGAGTAGACGTTCCGGGCTGCGCTCAGCTCCAGCCTACGCCGCCGTCTACGGAAGTTCAGGTTAGTAACCGCACCTGGGGCCGCCCCTCACCCGCACCGGGGAGCGGAGGGGAGGGGAGTCACCGGCCTCCCCTGTAGTGCCCGCCGCCTGGGCGCTTTGCGGGGAACCCAGGCTCCTGCAGAAGCTGCAGGTGTCCTCTGGGTAGCCCCCGGAGAGGGTGGGGGCCAGCCCAACGAAGCTTGGGCAAGGGCTTCCCTGCCTTCGGGTTAGCTCACCGATGGGCAACACGCAGAGCTTCCGCCAAGGGCAAGAGGGAGTGCTGAGGGGCACTAGGCAGGCAGGGAGGGGGCGGGTGCAGGTCAGTAGCCGTCCCTAAGGTCGCCACGGCAGGTGGGTTCTTCACTCACTGAGGGGAACTGGTGGACACAGGGGAGGAGGCTGGCCCTGCCCACCCAGCAGCCACTCCCTGCAGGTGAGCACCCCTCCCCGGGAAGAGAGGGGTCCCCTAGCCCTTCAGTGGACTCCGTCCGCTGAGGGTGGGAAGGGGCCCGTAGGTTGCTTTGTGGTGAGACTCGCCCGTCCTCTCTCTCTCTCCCTCTCTGCCTGTGCCTTTCCTGGCTTCTGTCTCTCGCGGTATGCCCTGTCTTTGTCTCTTGGCCTCTGTGGGTCTGGTTCCTGCTGAGTGCCGCCCCCGCCCGCTCTCCCGCTTTCTCCCGTCGGGCCGGCACATCGGACTGTCCAGCTCGCTCTCCGGAGCGGAAGCGGGAAGTCTGCCCGCGGCGGCCTGAAGGTCTCCGAGCGAGCGTGGCCGGC